TATCTAGAAATAAATCAATCTCGAGGAGGTTGAATGGTGCACCAGCCCATTTATTTTCTCGAAGTCTCCTCACATTTACTGCACAATTGTTTCATATTTGACACTTTTGTTAAATTCAAGGAAAAAAGACCACCTTGCCCCTCCTATATGTATGTTTTTAGGCGTGCTATGTTCAGGCGTACCGGGAAAAAACATATGAAAAATAAACTAAAGATGAAATAGGTGACATATATGAAAAATATAAGTTTAGGTGTAAATAGGGAAGGAGAGGGTTTTCTAGTATCAAATAGAGAATTTTCACTTTTAGTTTCTTTCTTTTATTAATCGTTTATTTATCTATATCTTAGTTTCTAGTTCTAAGGGGAATTAGAGTTTTCTAGCAAGCCACAATGTGATGACAAAATCAAAGGAGATGTTAAACCAGGCGCCTTTTTTTGTAAATTCCATACTATGATATCAACCACTGAATCTCGACCTAACGACAACCCATCGTCATCTTCTCTTCCTACGTGCTTTCAACCGTGCACAACCACCAGGGTTCCTACTGCTTTGCTGCTCACTCAACGCCTAGTAAAGTGATTATGTAGTTTTTACTACCTCTGTCATAGAAAGAATGTAATTATGGGTTGCGTACCAAGTAAAGTGGTTCACGTTTGACCAAGTTTCTAGTAAATAGTATTCATATTTATAAATCCAAATTAATTTATTATGAAAATATATTTCATAATTGATCTAATGATATTTATTTGATATTATAAACAATTATATTTTTTTATCTATAATTAGTCAAAGTTGATATAGTAGCACGTGACACTGTTCTAGAATTGCATTCTAAGAATTGCATTCTTTTAGAGATGGAGGGAGTACTATATATTTAGATATACAGTACGTCTAGATATAAAGTGAAAGCAATGTTTATAGAGAAACCAAAATATCTTATAATTTTACCATAAAAAATCTTATAATTTGAATGGAGGGAGTACGTATGTTCTCATCTGTTCTGGTATGTAGATATATGTCCCCGTGAGGGTTTCACGAGAGTTTTATTTCATTTAATATCGTACCACACATGCATTTTTTATGACATTGCAATGTTTCAATGAAGAGAGAAGAAATGAGTTTCATAGGGATGAAACTCTCTCGCCACTATTACCAACTCTCTTCGATTCATAGAATTAAATGTCCACAAAACTATAGAATAAAACTTTATATTAAAAGTGGATGTTTTATCCATGTTTAATTTTATTCTATACTATATGACAATATTGAAAACAATGTCATGAAACTGAGCTAACCGGACAGCAAGCTGACGTTGTACGTGTTCACACCACGGTGCCTAATAATCCGAACTGCAGGAAGAGTATAAAATTACACCATAGGCTTTATACGCTAGAAACATTTATTTCACCGACACCTATTGGTGGATTTGGTGGTCAATTAATTTAGTCACGGATGAAACTAACCAATACCGCAATTTGCAGTGGTGCAAGCACAGCATGAACATCGTACCAAAGCTAGGCGCCGAAAAGCAAGAATTAAAAAGGGAGAAAAGAAATGATCATACTCACTCTTCTTTTCCCAAATAAATCAATTCCTAGAATCCAAGTCAAAAGTGTCAAACTATGTTAAATTTGATTAACTTTACACCACGGTGCCTAATAATCCGAACTGCAGGAAGCGTATAAAATTACACCATAGGCTTTATACGCTAGAAATATTTATTTCACCGACACCTATTGGTGGATTTGGTGGTCCGCTCTGTTAAAATTTGGTTTATAAGCCACTTGTGCTGATTTATATAACTAATTTGTTGGAAGAGAAAAATATTGTACCATGGCTTATAAGCCGGCTTATAATGACAGCCGAGCAGAGCCAATACCGCAATTTGCAGTGGTGCAAGCACAGCATGAACATCGTACCAAAGCTAGGCGCCGAAAAGCAAGAATTAAAAAGGGAGAAAGAAATTATCATACTTACTTTTCCGTTCCTAAATAAATCAATTCCTAGAATCCAAGTTAAAGTGTTAAACTATCTTAAATTTGATTAACTTTATAGAATAACATCTATAAAATTAGTACACTATGAAAATATATTTTATGGTATATCTAACTATACTAATTTGATGTCATAAATCTTAATGGGTTTTTCTAGAAATTCAGTCAAAGTTTAAAAAGTTTGACTTAAGACAACTCTAGAAATATATTTATTCGAGAACAGAGAAAGTAGTTGTAACCTTAAATAAAGGCTAAACATAAGAAAAGAGAATGGATATGAGCCAATTTTCAAACATTTTAAATTCCTTTGCTCAGGTATATAATTAATACTCTCTCTATTCCAAAATATATGACGTTTCAACTTTTCTAGACACATAACTTTTATTATGTATTTAGATATATATTATGTTCAAATACATAGTTAAAATTCCTCGCAAAAAATACATAGTTAAAATAATGTATCTATAAAAGTCAAAATGTATTAATTTAGATGGAGAGAGTAATTTAGTGCATGCTTATACATACGTTCCAAAAAAAAAAGGTCCTATAAAGAAAAATGCCAAGTACAAGCCTCCTCATGAATGTCTGAATCAAAGGAGGCAACCAGTGGAGTCAATATACATCAATACATGTACGTATTAGCTGTTTCATTCCAAACATTAAGTGCATTTGAGGACCAATAGGAATCAGCCCATTTAGGCCTATCTAGTTGCTGCTGCTCCCTTCATTATTGTTTGGATTTCGAAGCGTCAAGGCGTCGTGGCTCTGGCTTCCTTCGTTTCTCGCCCAAATGCCTTCGCCAGTTCGCCGAACACCGTTGCGCCGCGCTGGTACTGCTGGGCTGGGAGACCGGAGTCCGGACGTGAGACGCCACGCCGCGCCGCCGGCCATCAACGGCCACGCCGCCGCCCGTCCAAAATTGACACCCACCGCCGACTGCCGTCCACCAGCAGCAGCAGGTAATCCATAATCATAAATCATCCAGTGATATTCTCTTATCTGATTAACAGTCACTGGTGATTCTAAATTTTCTTTTTCAATTTCACCATTACAAAGTAGATGTAGATGTGTTTAATATTGCAATTGATCAACAACTAGCAGAGTTAGAAGATCGATTCAGTTCTTAAGCGACAGATCCAGTAAAAAGTAGATGTGTTTAATGCCCCCCGTTACTTTGTTTGTCCATTGCCCCCCCCCCCCACGAGCGTGGCTGGATGCTAGTGGTGCTCGCGCACCGCCGCTCGCCGCCGACCGAATCGACCGACCAGGCCTCGCCTCACATATGTTGCAAACAAGGATGGCAACGGGGCGGTTTCGGGTCGGATATCCGCGGGTTTTGGGTCTTGCGGGTTCGGGTTCGGGGATGATTTCACACCCACGGTTTTCGGGTTCGAGGCCCCGAAACCAATCGGGTTCGGTTTCGGGTTTTGTTTTCCACCTGTGGATATCCAACGGATATCTGAAATAAATCATTTGGAATTAAAACTTATGTTTTATAATATGCTACTAATAACTTATTTACTTATATTATTAAATTTATTCTAAGTTGACTCATGAAAATATTTATTATGTGTTGCCTCTTGTTTATACATGTGAATATGTGTATATATATCATTCATATGTTTATAGAAAGTCCTTATTTCTCTTACTATGTTGCCATACAAAGTGGGTTTCGGGTATCTATTCGGGTTTAGGGTATCCGCGGATTCGGTTTTGGGGACGGATTATCACCCGAATCGGTGTTTGGTGCGGTTTTGGGTTTTGATTTCGGGTTCGGGTGCACAGAGACTTCACCCGATCCGAATCCGCCCCGTTGCCATCCCAGTTGCAAATGTATGTTTTAAATGTTTCAGAAGTTTTAGAGGTATGTTGCAATTGTTTCATATGGATGTTGTAAAAGTAGATAGGGGATGTTGCACATGTTGCATATGTTGCAAGTGTTTCAGAGGCATGTTGCAATTATTTTTTTCAAAATGTTTCATCTGTTCCAGACGTATGTTACAAACGTTTTGATCTAGATGTTGCATATGTTTCACACATATGTTACAATAGTATGTTCTAAATATTTCATTCGTTTGCAACAAGTGTTTTCATGTTGCAAGTTGTAAGTGTTTTATCTGAATGTTGCATATGTTTCACACATATGTTGTGAGTATATGTTGCAGATGTTTTATCTGTTTCAGACGTATGTCGCATTCAAGTGTTTCATGTTGCACGTGTTTCATATTGCTTGGAGAGTCAGGGGGTGCGGGGAGTGATGGTGGCACGGCATGGGAGTCGAAGAATGGGGCGCGGTAAACCGGGGGCCGGGGGACGTGGCGTTCGGCGTGCAGGGAACCGGCGGTCGGTGCGCGTGCGGGGCGGGCCGAACGGCCAAGCGGATGGGGGCAGGTCGAATCGTGGCGGGCTGCGCGTGTGAGAAGAATCGTCTGGACGCGCGGGCACAACGATGGGGCGGGGTGCGCATGCAGGGCGGGGCGAATTCGCAGACAAGGACAAGCTATGCATGCGTCCGTCCGGATGTCCCGCCGTAAAACAAAAAGAAATCTAACTCAAATAACTTCTTTTTTCAAAATGGTTCCCTCCGGCTCGGTCGCTCGGAATTGAAATGCTCCAATTTTGCAGCCCATTGAAAGATGACATCATAAAACCATGGAGGACAGCAGGAGATACAAAACCTGCTGTGTCTGCATATTCTCTGCTTTGCCTGTCGCTCCCTCGAGAAAACGAATGCCGTCCTAAATGCTGCAGGCAGAGAGAACTGATGGCACATCAAACAGAGAAAGCGGCAATCGAAAACGACGCGTCGATGCCAAAAGCGGGAGGCCTCACTGAGCTGGCCGTACGAGGCTACGAGCTGCCGAGCATAAAGCGCCTTCTTCTCCTCACTCTCCCTGCCTCTCTTCCCTAAAAGCCGCCGCCGCTTCTGCTCCTGCAACTGCGAGCTCTATTCCAGTGCTGGTGCAGTGCACCCATCGGCAGCCGCCTGCGGAGCCGAACGAGACCATGAAGAAGGCGGTGGCAGTGGGAGGAGGAGGTGGGAAGGGAGGCACAGCGCCTACGGACCTCCTGGTCTGCTTCCCCGCTCGGCAGCACCTGGCGCTGATGCCCAAGCCCATCTGCAGCCCGTCCCGGACCACCATGGACAAGGCGGCCGCCGCGCGCCGGCGCCAGCTCCAGCTCCAGCTGCCTGGCGCCAGCGCTGCTGCAGGTGGTGGGAGAGTGCGCGGGAGTAGCCCCATGTTCCGGGGGTCCAAGGCGAAGCAGAGGGCGGCGGAGGAGGAAGAGGAGCCGCAGTCGCCGAAGGTCACGTGCGCCGGCCAGATCAAGGTCGGCCGGCCCAAGAAGGTGAAGCCGGGGCCGGGCTCGACGGCAGCGACGAAGCACGGTAAGGATGGCGTCGGCGTCGGCGACGCCAGGAGCTGGATCACCGTGGTGGAGGAGATCGAGCGGCTGCGCGGCCGGAGGAAGAAGGTGGGCTGGCTCGAGACCCTCGGGATCAGGCGGGACGCGCTGCCGTTCCTAGGCGCCGCGCTCCGGAGCCTGCGGTTCAAGGCGCGCTGCTTTGGGTCTCTCCATGCTGCGGCCGTGGACTCCTCCGTTGACTCCGACGACGCGGGGGAGCGTGGAAGAAAGCACGGAGCCGGAGGGAGCGCCGCGGCCAGCGTGTTCTCCAAGTGGCTCATGGTGCTGGAAGGCGGCCAGGAGCCCATGGAGCAAGACGAAGCCAGGCACGACGAGGAACGCGACCACGAAGAAGACGTCGAGCGGCAGGAGGGCGAGGAGACGGACGAGGGCACGAACGGGCCGTCCGCGCCGCCGCCGAACGCACTGCTGCTCATGCGGTGCCGCTCGGCGCCCGCGAAGGGACTGTCCATGTCCAGAAGGAGGACATGTGACCAGCTGGCCGGCGAGGACGACCAAGAGAAGGGGGCCGCGGTCGGCGAGCCGGGACCGGGAGACGGTGAAACAGAGGAGAACAAGGAGGAGCTGGTGTTCATGAGCACAGCGCCCGGCTTCATGAAGCTGTCACTGGACATCGCCAAGGAGACGTGGGTCGTCGGCGGCTGGGACCCGATCGCGAGGAGCCGGAGCTGGAAGAGGTGACCGCCAACGCCAAGGCGCCAACTCGCGCCGCCTGCGCGCGACGCCGACGAGGATGACGTGGAGGCGGAACTCGTCGTGTTTGTACGTATCGTTAGCATGTTCATTTAGCCTTATTCACTCGTATCTGGCTTATAATCCACGGCTTGAACAGTATTTTTCTCTCACACTAAACCAGCCAGCAGTACTTTCAGCCATAGCTTATAAACCAATTCAGCCAAAACTGCGTATCACTGGTTTATGTGTTGGAACATATTTAAACTCATGTTATGTAAATGTTCGAGTTTTAATCTTTGCATAGGAACTTGAGATGACATTGAAGTGAGCCCGTGCATTTTTCTCCCCAAGATCCTCGTGAAATCACGCAAAGTTCTTGTTCCAAACATAGGTTTCGACTTTCGAGTCCCAACCGTGCTAACTACTCCAACGCGCCGAGAATTTTCTTTTTCTTTAGAAAATAAGAAGTTGAGAACGACGCTATGCTCAAATATATATAAAAATCGATGCCACCAGTGTAAGGGTCTGTTTGGATTGGAGGAAATCCAAAGGAATTATGGAGGAATCCAATTCTATGGAAATGTTTTGTATTTTGGTGTTTGGATCAAAGGAATGACAGATTCCTTTCCTCAGGAACGGCTTTCTTCTATGTACAGAATGCAGGAAATAAAACATCCATCCAAATCTATTAGTTTTTGTTCCTTCACGAAGACCGAGGTAACTGCACGCACTTTATCGCCGTCTTGTGTGTGCCATCGACCATAATCTAGCTTTTTTCTGACATTGCTGTAGGTTTGTACTTGAACCACGCTGCTTAGACGTTGGGTTAGCTTGTGCACGTCACTGTCCAATCTCTACTACTTTGAAGCTTGCACTGATAAGTACTCATATTTGCCTAACATGTTACAATTTCTATGTTATAAATTCCTGTGTTCCAAACAACCTAAATTTTCTGTTTCTGTGTTTTGAAATCCCGTAATTTTTTACTTTTTATCATACCTTATTCCTGCGTTTTTTTCCTATTTCTGTGTTTTGGATTCCTCCGTTCTAAACATGCCCTAAGCGTGTGGCCTGCCCTCTCCATTTGACAGCAACAATCTATGCCGGCCAGACGACCTGCCACTCAAGGCCAGGCAGGCCAACAGAACACACAACCTGTTCGTTTGGCTGGACTGGTTCGTTGCTGATTCGTAAAAAAATACTGCTGATTGATTTGTGTGGGAGAAAAATCCTGTTCTGGGCTGGATCGTTTCACCCAGCCGAACAGGCTGACAGGCGCTCTGCTCTGCCACGAAAACAGAACACAGGCGCTCTGCTCAAGGCCAGGCAGATTGTTTTATGCTGCAAGCCTGCACAGCAGAGGACTCTGCCAAGAAGAATAGATTGTTGTATGCTGCAGGCTGCAGGCCTGCAGCGGGCAGCGCCAAAGAATCACTGCTCACTCGTTCCAAGGCAATGTAAAATCATACTTTAATTCCAACGTGCACCGGGTGGCCACCAGCTTCACAATCAATCAGCAGGCCATCAACTATTAACAAGGCAAAAATCACCATAAGATGAGATCACGCTCTAAGCCTAAATTGCAGGCGTCAGCTTCCACCAAACGCACGAGCACACGGGACTATAAAATCAAAAGTGCTACAACTAACACTAGTCCACTACTGCTGCACAACAGGCTTAAATCTACACGCTCCAGTGGCAAAAGAGAGGCTCTCACGGAATGTCAACACCTAGCTAGGCCCTAGAACAAACACACCCGCGAATACGAAATGAGCATGGCAACTCCCCCTCGGGCTCGGGCAGGCATAATGGCAGCAGGTGGCCGCTGTCATGCCGGGAGCAGACACGAAGCACGTATCGAGTAGTCCCTGCAAAAAGGGAAAGTGCAAAGGCGAAAGCGAAGTGGCATTCCGTGCGTCCCATGGAAAAGCGAATTCGGGCACGAACCAAAAGCGTGGGTTGTTGACATAACATGGACAGCGCTGTAAAGCCTCACAATCGTTTACCTGTTCAGCATCCAGAAGGGAGAACAATGCAGGTTCATGAATCTATGCTACACAACCTGCTAGTCTGTAGGTCATTTGGCACATCCAATGCTGCAGGTTAATGTTGCGGCAAACTGTAAGATCATTCACATGTCGCGGAATTGTAAGTGATTTGTAACTGCCAAGAGACTTCGTCGCAAGAAGAACGCCATTCTGTACAATTAAGCTCAGATCTGACACAGCAAGAGGGAGAATAGGAGAACTTGGATCGGTTGATTGAAGGCAGGGCTGAATGGAAGGTGCAGGAGGCGAGGAGGTGCTTCACGGCAAGATTGGAAAACTGCTGATACTGCCATATTAGGACCTGGAAAAATGTTGAAGCAAACTTGTGTTAGCAAGGTCAAATGTTAATTATGAGTCAGATTATACGACATAAAAAGACATTTAGAGAATATAATTTGATATGCAAGATATATTGAAATCACTACAAGACAAGAAATAGCTTGGAAATTCAGTGTGTGTGAATTGTGATCAGGAATCCAGGATTAAACAATTAATCAAAAGAACGCAACAATAAACAGAGAGCTTTTCAAGTCTGCAAGATGAAGAGAGTAACTGCGGATTGAAATATTTAGTTGTTGGTCTAATGTAGATGAAGGGCGGGCCTGGTGCAAGCGGTAGAGTCTTACCGCATGTGACCGGAAGGTCCCGGGTTCGAGTCACGTTCTCCTCGCATTGCACAGGCGAGGGTAAGGCTTGCCATTGACACCCTTCTCCAGACCCCGCACAGAGCGGGAGCTCTCTGCACTGGGTACGCTCTTTTTTTTGGTCTAATGTAGATGGTAGGCAGATAACACAGAGAATTTGTTACTAGAACGATACAATCATGTGGGCTTCATATTAATAACTCACTATCAGAAAAAATAGCATTTTCACTTCAAAAATTTCTAATAAGATAAATGGTTGGAAGCTACGGTCAAGTATTAACAATGCAGCTAATGTTCTACTTTCCGATAGGAAAAGGACTAGCAAATATATAAACAGGCCTAGCTTTACTTTCATATCACAAAGTGCAATTAACCAAAAAAAAGAAAGTACACCAAGTGGCAATACCCGCTACACTAATTTGTTGATGAAGCAGATGCTTTCTGGACCTCTGTTGTTATCGCCTCAGCAAGGTCTGATGCCTCATACTCAGTTCCAAAGCACCTTACTGTCTCCAAGTATGGATCTAGCAAGTACCTGTAACTTCGGATGGTCAATGTCTAGGAACATTTATCAACATGAAAATGTGCACAATATGCACTTACATATTGTGAGAGCTTTCTACAAGATAGTCCTGACCAACTTCCTCTACTCTTTTAAAGAAAACACGGTACTCCTGAGCAATCTGTCTTACTGCACTGATGGGGCCTGTTAGTCCTACTATTCTTGGGTCAAACTCTGCAGTTAAAATGAGGCGAATCATCACTTGCAGCATAGCCTAAAATTTCAATGTTTCTGACCCCAATAGCAGAATATCTTACCACTAAGGTATGCCTTAAGCTGAGCAGGTGAATCACGTTGAGGATCAATTGTGATAAAGAGTGGTGTAATCTTGATACCATACTTTGACTCTAGTAAAAAAACAAACACCATAAGCAATTATGAAGATCGTAAATTAATAGTGCACATAGATGAATCCAGAAAACTTATTCATTGCAAGCCACTACTGTAATTTTCCAAAGGAGCTGACACAGAGTAGGTCGCAGATTTGACAATGACTGACAGAAGCCAAGATTGAGCAAGCCAACTAGCCTAGTATTGAAAACATCATTACGAGTCACTTTTCAGCAAAAGATAACAGATAATTGGAAACAGCTAAGAAAGGTTGCAGAGAAAGTGAATAAACAGAGGTCATAAGCCAATTTCTGTATAAAGTGAGTTTTTAGCCTTCAAACTAAATAGGAAAAACGAAACATGCACATACACAGAGCACATACAGAAGATCATATGCGTGTAACTAAAAAAGCTGCTAATCACAAATGTGTAAAAGTAAAATATAGAGGATGCTGAACAAATTTAATACATAATGTGCCATGAAATGTATTGGGTATTCCTGAGAAAGAAGGGTAATATAGCAATGTACCTAACAGTTTAACAACATCAGCCATCTTCTGAACTTCGGCTGGATCCACATCTGGGCATGATGTATAGCCAAAGTACATCAGAGTCCAATTTCCCCGAAGCTTCGATTCAGTCACCTCAATTTTTTCTGTATCATATAGCTTAAATGGCCCTCCTATAGCAGGTCTATTGGTATTACATCTTTTGGGAACACTAGTCTGTCCTGGTCCTTTAGCTGAAAACACCATGATATTAGCAAAACAGCAACAGAGAATACAACTATTAGAAAACTAAAGAACCAATGTAAACCACTTGTTTGAGCTAAGCTACTATTCACCACTAAAACTTGTTTTCATGCAGTTTCCATTCTTTTTCTCCAATAAAAATTGTACCAGCAATTTGCAAACAGCAGGAATAGTAACTCCAAGATGTCATGTACACTATAATTAACAGTGTCATAACAAACTTAATCACGCGAGCACACTACTTCATCATCAAGAAGTTCCACCAGATGTCCAAGCATAGATAAATTGAATCTGCATACCACGACAGGGCATTTCATCCAGCTGAACTATTATCGCTATCTAATCTATACAAGTTAACAAGTACTCCCTCCGTTCCAAATTATAAGTCATTCTGGCTTTTCTAGGTACATTTGTTTATGCTATGCACCCTAGATATAGACTATGTCTAGATACATAATAAAAGTTATGTATCTAGAAAAGCCAAAACGACTTATAACTAGGAATGGAGGGAGTAAAACTGAAGCACAGAATGAATACCAACAAAATGTGGAACCTCAGAAAACAACATAAAGCTGCATTGCTGGAAAACTCTTACCTAAGGGAACTGCACGCCTCTCATCATTGTAATGAACAAAAGTGGCAATCCCAGCAAAAGCAAGTAGAGCAGGCTGCAAAACCAACATATTTACAAAAGAACAGTGTTACTTAAAATGCTATTACGGGTTTACTCAGAAAAGTGTGGGTGCTAAGGTTCAATTAGGCAACTGTGAACGTGTCCAAAAACATAGGTGTCAAAGAATCTCTTGTTGATTATTTGACATTAGACAATACTCTAGATAGCATTGTAACTTAAATATAATATGAGAAATCAGATAAGCAGTCTTTAGAAACAGCATACAGCAACGTAATATATCAATGGCCTAGCAGTTGACTCATTCTGTTCAGAAAACTGTCTCATTGGCCTATCATACTTGGAGCTTCCCCCACTAGAATAGCCTCTGGGACGGTAAGTCCGCACAGGTAGGATCCTACAGAACCAAAGTAATAGAATTATCAGAACTCAGTCACAAAGCACAAGCAAATAATCTACACATGTGGCTGCATGCACAAGCTAGAGGTAGTGACAAAACAGATGGAAAAATTCAATACCCTCAAGCATTTATGTGATATTTTTAGTATCAGCTTATGGCATTAAATTGAAGTTCAACGGTAGCACCTATCTAGAAGGGGGAAGCAAGACATATATCATTTATCAAATCAAACTACAAGTGAAACGTCAAAGGTACAGTTCCCATGCATGGTGTAAATTCAACTTATGGTGTAGCAGGAGCCATCAACAAAGCTACACGCAACAATACAACAAGGAATGTGAAACAGCATGAGCATCAGATCCTGGACAACCCAACTACAAGCAAAACCAGCGGCTACAGCATGATGATGACAGAACCCAGCCACCAAACACTAGTTCTGTCGTTGAACCCATCACTTAATCACATTCACTAGCAGATCTCAGACTAGCATATAATTGCAGTTGGCACACCACAACCATATTGCGCCCAGAGTAGCACATCCAGCAGAATGTCCCAGATAGCAACTTGCCGATGAAGTGCGCAAGGTACATCATACACACACACTGAGTTACTCATATCAACTGAGAACTTAGCACCCTTTTCATGCCATGCTGACTCAACTGACTTCCATGAAACAAAATAAAACAAAAAAAAAAAGTCCCTCCCGGAATCCTCCCCGCTCAGCTCCATGGAACGCTCCAACGGAGACGAATCTCAAATCCCGACTCTAAACCACCCCAAACTACCAACCCAATTACCCAAACAACACCTGCAGCAACCGAAGACGCCACCGCCGTAGGGTGCCGCCCGCTGCGGCATTAGCGCAAACACCTGTCGCGCACGCACAGCAACACCACGCACGCGAAAACCGATAGAAGAGAATAGGCGTACCGGAGTCGCCACGGCGGAGGCAGCTCGGCGGCAGCCCAAAGGCGGCGGAGAAGCGAAGGCTTGAGGACGCGCGGTGTCAACATGGCCGCGGCCCGGGTGCGAAGCGGTGGGGAGTACCGTAGTATCGGAGAGTCGGCGACGAGCAAGGGGGATGTTTGATGTGTTTGAGAAGAAGGAAAAAATAATGCGGCGAAATGGAAATTCTATGGGCGGTCTTGGGGTGTCGGGTGCGTCCGACTTCTGGTCCAAGAAAGGAAGGCTATGCTTGATCGTCTTGTGACTCAAGAAAGGGAGCTTGACCTCCTTGTGGCCCAAGAAAGGGAGGATCTCCGATCTATTGTGGGCTGACGATGGATCAATGTGGCCCAGCGAAGTTATAAATTTTCTTATCATTTTCTTTGAACTAATAAATATGGCTGTGCGATATGCATGTGCTTATGAAACTATTTCAAATGCAATGAAAATATTAATTAATTTTTCAATATGTCGATTCAATGTACCATCAACAATTTCTTTCAATACAAAAATAGGATAATGAATTTTTTATTGGATATATAAGACATTAAAGAAATTTATACAAAAATGAATAAGTGGCACCAATCTAGTGGAGCTAATGTTGTTTGTTCACTGGTGCCAAAAATGATATGAAGTGAGGACTATGGACTAGGCAGTGGCCTACACGGTGATTTCAATTTTTTTTTCTAACCTAAAAAGAATCCATGACTTTAAACATGACTGAAATATGACTTTAATGATTTAAGATTTTACATATACAAACAACGTGAGCGGTTAGGCTCTATTACGTGGTTGAGCAAACAAATTAAACAGTCTAAACACCTAGTAGACGGTGCAAAAGACGTGCATGAAAAAAACTTAGGGCATAAAATTACAGAAATACTATACAACACACATGTGTTTTAGCACAAAAAAAACATATGGATTTTTTTGTCCCTCTCTCCCTCTGTCTTTTCAACTGCTTGCAGTGGCGCTGGGGCTGGGGACTTGCAGGACCCAGTGCGGGGACGTGAGCGTGCCCTTCCCGTTCGGTCTGAGCCCCGGGTGCCACCTGCCGGGGTTCGACCTCACCTGCGACACCAGCCACACGCCGCCGCGGCTGCTCCTCGGCAACGACACCCTCCAGGTGACTGACATCTCCCTCGATTGGGAACCTTTTTTTTGTCCTTGCATAGAAAAAAAATTATTTCTTGTGATATGTGGATCTGTAATCTTGTGATTTGTGATTGTCTGAAGGTAGAAGAAGGCTGTAGGTAGAAGGAGGATGAAGGCTGTTGGATCTTAATTCTATGGTGCAAAAAAAATTATGTGTTAAAACTACATAAAACACATGGTTGTTGGGTAGACGGACTCTAAAATTAATCCCTCTCGGTCTCAGGGTTTGTGTTGTGTGTTCCACAGTGCCGGTTCTCCACGGCCATACTCCTAACAGATACGAAATAAAACCGATGCCAGATACTCATGAGTCATGACTTAAACAAACAAAAATTGGCAGATGTAAAACAACGTGACTTAAACAAACAAAGGGCTAGACCCAATTTTCGATCCTATGTAGAAAGTGATGTCGATATCTTGGGAAATCTAGAAGGAAATGAACTCAAGATTGCAGGAAGCAGAACACACCATGGCAATGCTCGCAACAATCAAGAAGAAAAGTGTCCTCTTGGATTTTGGCGGGAGAGAAACATTTAGCTGTCTCTATTTACGTGAGACCGCGATTGTCATGTCCACTTGTTCAGAAAAAAAAAAAGCCATTCAGCTGTGTCATCTTCTAGCCAACCACTACTGAATTCAGGTTCTTTGCCGAGTGCCTGAGGCACTCGACAAAAGTCAAATTGCACTCGACAAAGAACACACGGCAAAAATTTGATCGGCAAAACCCTCTTTGCCGAGTGCCTCGGGGATACTCAGCAAAAAAAAGCGACCGTCACGGCGTCGGTCCCGTTGACGGTCACTTTGCCGAGTGCCAACCCTGCAGGCACTCGGCAAAGATTTTTTTAATTTTTTAAAAAAAATTTCTTTGCCGAGTGCCAACCCGTGAGGCACTCGGCAAAGATTTTTTTATTTTTTAAAAAAAATTCTTTGTCGAGTGCCAACCCGTGAGACACTCGGCAAAGAGGTTTTATTTTTTTGAAAATTTTTTTTGCCGAGTGTTATAGTCACAGCACTCGGCAAAGCTAGAAAATCTGTTTTCTGGTTGCCCATTTTTCCAACTTTGACGAGTGTTGTGACCATTGCACTCGGCAAAGGGTCCTTTGCCGAGTGCAACACTCGGCAAAGTGACCCAAAACGTTAATTTTTTTTGCATTCCATCATGACAGATACATTCATACAAACATATATCACATATATATCTCATCCATCACATATATATCTCATCCATCGTATATATATCTCATCCATCCGCCCATATCACATCCATCACAATATATAATAATAAGTGCTCAAGTCCATCCAAATAAGTCCACAAGTGCATCACAAGTATATCACAAGTCCATCACCAAGTGAACAACAAATGTAAAAAATACAACATGCACTCATCTCGGCCACTACGACTATGGTGAAGGCCTAGATGCATCATTCGTAGGTGCATGAGGTGGATTATTTGAATCACCGTCAGATGGAGACTGCACAAAGGAGAAAAGATTGCATGTGAGACAAGATTATTTTGATAGCTAATCTAGGACGATAGAGGCCATACAAGCAAAGCACAAGCGAAAGTAAAAACTTTGATACTCACAGGAGTAGCTGCAGCTGCAGGACGCGAAGGCGGAGGTGGAACCAACAGCCCAGGTGACAGAGAAAAGCCCATACGTTGCCCAAGCCCTTGTAGGAAATCAGTAATTCCCATCAGCCTCTGTGCCTGGGCCTACCGCTCGGCCCGCTCGGCCTCCAGCTGGGCCCCCAGCTCCTGACGTTCCTTCATTTCTTGTTCCAGCCGGGCCTGCAATATTTCACTCCAATGTTTCAGTAATGCAAAGCTAATTAAGGTGTGTAAAGATCAATGTATGACGAGTAAAACAGGAATAACCTCGAGTGCGTCGACCCGGTGCTGTGCAGCGGTCGGTCGTGTGCGAATGGCCGGGCTCTCGCTCATGCTCCGTGCTTGGATCTGGGAGAGAGAGGGAGTAGAGGCCGTGTCAATGACGCCGTCGCCAAGCCAGAACCGCCCATGCTTCTTGCCTTGCCCTGCCCTCATGACGGCCTCTCCATCGAAGTCCTGGGTGCTCGGATCGTGGTCTGACCCATGGAGCGACCTCGCCACCTCAGTGTACTCACTGATGCGGGAGTGGACGCTCGGGTTCGTGTATGCCTCGGGCGGGTCCTCTAGGTTGAAGGAGACGTCGGACGTCGCCTTGCCCTTGTGGGCCATACACCATGCCTGGAAGTCCGAGCAAGCCTGGCCACTATGTGACGCCGACTGCGAGAAAGACAGCACGATGATTAGAAATCAGGCAGAACTGAGCGTGACAATAGATAAATCAATTCGCGTACCCATGCTTGTTTGTATCCGGTGAGGTTGCGGCTGCCTTGATGGTGTGCTGGACCTTGCATCAGCAAACGACGATCCCGGGCATCCCTGTGCATCTTGAGGTACTCCTCCGTGAACCACCTGTCCACCATCATCGCCCAGCACTCGGGATACGCTTGGCACCACCAGGGAATCATCTACACGTCATCAAGTATTGGACATATAGGGCCCGTTTGTTTCCACTTCTCCTAGCCACGCTTGGATTATAATCTAAGCGAAGATTTTCTCGCTTCTCGCTTTTTGCTTCTCGTAGTTCAAATCTCTGAAGCGGCTTACCACATAAGCGAGAATCGGTGGAAATAAGCAAAGCGTTTGGCGGGATTCTCGCTTATTTCCACCGACAAGCCGCTTATAAGCGGAAACAAACGGGGCCATAAGATCAAATTAAACCAACTTAATCTCAAAACGAATCAATATTGATGTTCTTCATTTACCTCAAGGTACTGCTCCTGGGTCAGCTGCATCTCTCTTACGTCTTTCTTGGTTTTCCTCTCTCCAAGCTTCGACCCATAGTAGGTTACGATGGCCTGGATGCGCACCTCGTGATGCATGTCGGTGACGAGTTTTTTACAAGCTTTGGTAGTCACTTGCTCCGCCCTGGCCTCAAATCCATCCTCGCATCTGTAATAAGTCTGCATACAAAAGCAATGTATCCATTCATTATTTCAAGAAAAGTCCAATGAATGCGACGTATTGAGCAATGTTGTGCGAGGGAGACTTACCCAAAACTCCGCCTTCACCCGCGCCGCCTTGTTGGGGTACTCCGCATTGGAGGCGACGACGTAGTGGTCAAACGAGTAGGCCGGCTCCATCTTCGATGCGTACGTGATAATGCCGGGGAAGTGTTGCCTACACAGAAGACCCAGGATGCCGTTGACTAGCCGTGCGCTACCACCCGACACATCCACCTAGTTCCTGCACAAGTGATTAAGAAAAAATATTAGTTTTTTCATCATATCATATAAAGTAGTGGTGATAACATATACAGTTACTTACTTTTGTCCTTCAGGGCGAATCACTAGGCGTTGGTGAGGAAGCAGAACCTGTGGGAGGCTCGCGAGACCTCGTAAGTAGACACTCGAAGAGGAGTTGGAGGAAGCGGAACCCGTGCCTGCCGCCTCCCCCCCCCCTCCTCCTTCTCCTCCTCCTCCGTCTGCCGAACCAGCTCCTCGTCTGACTCATCCACGGGCGCCACCTCCTCCTATGGCTGGCGGTCCTCCTCACGTGGCGTGGGAGGAGACAGCCTCCTCCTGCGGCTAGCGGTCCTCCTCCTCCTCCTATTTGATCCCTCTGCCGCCCCCTCCTGTGACCGGCGTGGTCTTTGGTAAATCGAGTTCACAGACCTATGACGGTCGCCCACCATCTTTGTTCAATCACCTGCAATAAAAAAGAAAAACAAGACGTAATTAGAAATAGGTGCAAAAATGAACAAAACATAATTACAAAAAACATAGTAATACATGTATTAGAAATATATGCAAAAATAAACAAAACATAATTACAAAAAACATAGTATTACATGTATTAGAAATAATC